AAAACAACAAAATTTAAATCAGGAAAGGATCGACACTGCCAACGTGGGAGAAGAAAAACTACTCCAAGAGATGATTTTTTAATACGCCTGTCGCATCTACGGAACCGTTTCAAAACGGCAAGACAAACCAGACATTAGTTGAACAACATGCGACAACACGCGTACCAGCCTCAGACACTTCCTCAACTTGAGAGAACATCGCATGAAGAGTGGAATTAACATCCCTCAACAGGCAGTGCAGCGATTGATTGATTCAAGGCTTCGACGATGTCAGGTCGTCATTTACTCTACTGATCGTGTTACTTTTGCAGACCACCCTCACACTCTTGTAAGTCGTGAATAAACCTGTTATGTTCACATTCCATATTGTTGTTGTTTACGTTTTTAAAATTGATTGAATTCGTATTCCTGAAATTTTAAAGAATATCGACTAATTGTGAAATTAACTATTTTAATTTTAACACAGTGTATACTTAAAAATGTGACAGAGTATAGTATGTAGTCTAGATCTATATATTATATTGTGGCATCTTTTTGGTGAGTATTTAAAGAACAATTATAAGTGAATGAGGAGAATACGTGGAGACAGTATAATTTAGTCTGTGGAATACTCAAGACTATTGAAAAATAAAAACAAGTGAATGAGGAGAAAACGCAAGAATATTAGTCTAATGGCAAATATTAAACTGATTTTTAAGAGCTTTTTAAAAAAATGAAACGAGTGTGAATTTATTGAAAATTATTATTAAAGACGTCAAAGACACGACGAAGTATAATATATTATTTGTTTTGGGTTCCTTTGCATTCTTGCAGAAGATCTTTTGTCATCTCACTAAAGTGGAATCACTTGAAAATTCGTTTTAGAATTCGACAATCGATCATAGATCTAGATCTACATCAGATCCCATTAATATCTCTACGTTGAAATTTCAATGTGCGCAAGCCTGCAACTTGGGTTTTAATGCTTTGGTTTTTTATCACGAGAAACACTGAGCATTTTCAACCAACAGATCCATTAAAAATTTTGTCTAACCTATGATAAAGAAACGAATCACGAAATTCGAAACCGAAAGTCAGAAGAAACATGCCCATACCCTGCCGTCGTCTTTTGTCTTTTATTTGTTGGCCACTCATCCATTGCCTCGACGGCTCTTGACGACTTGATGTTTCATCTATAACTCCGCGTTCAAAGTTAATCAATACAAGTTTAATAACCAGATGCTGTAATACCATCTCTGTTAGGTATGAACTTTTAAGTGTAGGCTAGATTAGTCATTATATTATATTAAGGTTAACTAGAGATCTAAATCTAGAATCTAGATTCTAGAGATCATAGAATCTAGATTAGCAGATTAGATTTCTAGATTATAATATAGATCTAGATCTAGATATATAGATCTAGAATCTACATAGATCTACATCTAGATATATCTAGACTCTAGTTTAAATTACTACCCTCCTCACTCGTGAGTCATTGATCAGTCAGAATTGTACGTGTATCCGATTGTCGAAGTCTTACACAGTGTCATTATTCATTATATTATATCGAAGTGGCTAGCCGTACTTAAGTACTGCCAGTCTAGCCGTACGTAGATCTAGAATCTAGGTTTGGCCCTATCGACTCAATCAAGCCTGTTTAGTACACAGGTCTCATTAGACATATTAGATCTAGATGTAGATCTAGATCTAGATCTAATAATTATTCAGGTTCAAATACATGCGAGTCAGTAAGGCACCTTTTGGTTTTGTCTGAAATACAAATACTTTAGGCATTGCAAACTAAAAATTTCTTTAACATTTCAGCCATCAATATTAAGTACGGCTAGCCTGACAGTCTAGCCGTCCTTAAGCCTTAAGTACGGCTAGCCTGGCTGTCCACCTGTACTTCAGTACGGCTAGACAAGAAGTCTAGCCGTACTTAAGTATGGCTAGACTGCCAGTCTAGCCGTACTTATCTTAGGCCCTATTAACATTAGAAAACAGGAGGTTTAAAATACATACACTGTCATTAAGGCACCTAGTTTCGTCTCAAATGCAAATACTTTAGGTACTGCACACTAAAAATGTATATTTTACAATTCAGTAGGCCTATTTTTTTGTAAATGGTCAGTCTAGCCATCATAATCATATTAAGAATAAGTACGGCTAGACTTCGAGTCTAGCCATACTTAAGTATGGCTAGACTGCCAGTCTAGCCGTCATTAAGTACGGCTAGCCTCTTCCATATTCAGTGTTAGTTTATTAAAAGATATCTTGCAAGTTGAAGGGGAAATGGGAAGTTGCTGTATTGAATTGATACAATACAATGCTAATTTTGAAGAATGACTTCGTTGTGGCTTTGCTTTGCTCATTGTATTAGGGTACGACTTCATAAAACCTCCCATTTTGGGCTTTCTGTTTTTTATATATATATAGATCTATGTCTAGATCTAGACTTTTTATTCATCCACAATTCACAGCAAGAAAGGCCACTTGATCTAAATTTTTATATACACTTATACAGTGTGATAGAGGGTTTGTTTTATGAATGAGTCTTACTACTTAGAAACCTTATATGTTGGCTCTGACAGTCACTGACGGCAAATTTCCTCACACATTTTTTACATGACTTGTACTTGTGTCAAAAATACTAAAAATGCATATATGATAAAATAATTGTTACTTGTACAAAAATCCTTTTTAATTATAGATCTAGTAAATAGCAGTAGATAAATGGCTGAGGAACAACACAATTTTGGTTTAAAAAATCAATTTTTGACCTTACTTTCTTGTCTTACTTGTCCTGCGCACACCGGACAGGTCCATTTAGTGCAAGAAGGCGAGAGAAAGAGAGACTGACAAACAGCAAAAAATAGGCGTTCTGAATTGGAAATAAATTTATTTTAGTTTGCATTGCCTAAAGTATTTTTGTATTTGAGATGAAACCAAAAGGTGCCTTACTCAAGTTACTGACAGTGCATCATGTATAACGAAGTGGCTAGCCGTACTAACATTTTTTTTGGTGCCCATTGCTAACACCAGGTTGAACTTGTCCCCCAACCTGATTCCCTGGCCCTAACCAGTTTTTAACTGTTCTTCGAATTTAGAATAGGTAACTGAAGAATTTAAGAACTTGAGCTGATTTTATTTTTATTTTTGTTCAGCAAATTTTTCAAATGTCCTTATATTATATATAATATAAGGACATTTGAAAAATTTGCTGAACAAAAATAAAAATAAAATCAGCTCAAGTTCTTAAATTCTTCAGTTACCTATTCTAAATTCGAAGAACAGTTAAAAACTGGTTAGGGCCAGGGAATCAGGTTGGGGGACAAGTTCAACCTGGTGTTAGCAATGGGCACCAAAAAAAATGTTAGTACGGCTAGCCACTTCGTTATACATGATGCACTGTCAGTAACTTGAGTAAGGCACCTTTTGGTTTCATCTCAAATACAAAAATACTTTAGGCAATGCAAACTAAAATAAATTT